ACCCCTCAAAATGAAGGGTGGCAGGACGAGATGGAAAGAGACCTTTGGGTCATTCAGAATCTTGGTTTGTCACTTTTTCGAGGCAGTTTCTTTCTTGAAGCATCACACGGAAGCCAGGTGCCAGCTGAAGGTCCTCTCGGCTGTGCTCTGGCATAGATGGGAACGGACAGGACAGTGTTCGGGTTCCTGCCCCTGAGAACCGCTCATCAGACCCTCCACCTGTCCATGGCTTGGTCCCTGTGTCTTGTCCAAGTTGCTGGCCAGTATCCCCAGGGAGCTGTGACTGTCTTTCTTCTCAAGGACAGCAGATGGTCCCCCAGCTTTTCTCCAGGGAACGCTTCTGTGTTAAACATTAAGGACCCCCATTGGGCTCCTGATTTAAATTGGAGTTTCCACATTTCTGTTGTATGGGGCTTCTTCTCCAATCTTCCCAGCTGCCCTACCGTGTCACTTTCTCTCTGGACACCAGAGTGTCCACACTGGCCAGTACCTCTGGGGTTTTTTTCACCCAGTGATGACTCACCGATATTGCTTGGAAAACCCCAAATTATTTGCTTGTTGCCCTCTTATGTCCCAGAGTCTCATGACTCTTTCTTTAAAACTATCTATGGTTCTTGGGGCCCCCATGTCTGCCATGGAGAAGCTAGAAAGCCCCTGGGCCATGTTGCAAAAGACACGACAGGAAATTATGAGCATGTTTTGTTCCCTGTGCCAATTCTCTGGGATGACAGAGATTTATAAGCTGCATTCCACATTCTTCCCCCTTGGTATTCTCACATAATTCCAAAATGTCAGAGGGACTCGCTTTCTCTTCACCCCAACATTAAAGGTATATGGAAACTCCGGGGGAGAGGGAGTAAAATGCTCAACTTGGTTTTCCTTGTAAAATCCCTGTTTGACCACACGGCTGTTAACATAGGTGTCCGTTCGTATTTGGCAAGTAAGATACACACTGGAGCTTCTTTTTCCTGTTGCTTTTTAAGTTTTGTGATGAAACAATAGATCCAGTTTGTCAGGCACAGACTTCAGCCCTTTCTGTGGCTTAGTTCACTCGACCCTCATGCAACCTGAGTGGTAAATACTATTGTTATTCCCAGGATGGGGGAGGTGGGTGCTCTTTGAGGATTGGGACCGTTTTTGTTGGCGATAAACTGCTCCAAGAGAATGGAACTCTGGAGTAAAATAACCAGTTGGAGTTACTAGACAAACCACCTGCTCAGTTCTGGTTTGACCATAGAGGTTACTGGCACCACCTTTATTAAGTAATTAATTTATTAATTTATCCTTACATGAGGATATTTTTCCATTTATCTTCAGATAGTGTGGGAGGGAGGGAGAGAGAAACATCAACATGAGAGAGACACATTGGCTGGTTGTTTCTCGCATGACCCCGGCTAGGGCCAGGGACTGAACTGCAAACAACATCTGTACCCTTGACTGGAATCGAACCTGTGACTCATTGGTCCACGGGCTGATGCTCTACCCATTGAGCTAAACCGGCCAGAGCAACTGGCGCCACCTTTAAGACAAGCACTTGGTACCTGTATGTGTGGTCCCAGCCAGTGGAGAACTGCGGCGGCTTGAGATTTTTGTCATCTTTGCAGCCTGTTGGTGACAAGGAGACAAGGAGTTTGATGTCTCAAGGACTCCTTGAGAAAGAAAGGTTTTAGAGCTGGCCCTCTGGCCTGTGACACCTAGCTACTACCGTATTGTGGTGTCACATTCTGTAGCATTCCTGTTGCATTCCGCACTGTTTTATACAGCCCACCTCTGACTGTTGCATTCCACACTGTTTTACACAGCCTGCCTCTGACTGTTGCATTCCACACTGTTTTACACAGCCAGCCTCTGACCGGAAGTCTGTATCCTCTAAAGAGAAAGGAAAATAGAATTGGTCAGAGGGCAGTCTTCTTGTAAAGGAAGAGCATCCTTGGTGACCCCTCTTTTGGACTTATTATTTTTATTATTATTATTTTTTGTTAATCCTCACCAGAGGATATTTTTCCATTGATTTTTAGGGAGAGTGGAAGGGAGGGAGGGAGAGGGACAGGGAGAGAAGCATTGATGTGAGAGAGTCACATCGATTGGTTGCCTCCCACATGCACCTGTGACCAGGGCTGGGGATTGAACCTGCAACCTGGGTACATGCCCTAGGCCGGCAATCTGCGACCCTTCAGTCTGAGCGCCAACATTCTTACCACTGAACCAAACTGGTTAGGGTGACTTGTTATTTTTATTTAAATTTTACTTGATGTTCACAAACATAAAATTAAACTACTTTTATTTATGGCTCTCAGCAGATACAAACCAAAAATAATTCACAAGTTATATATAAACAAGTCTAAAAGAACCCCCAGATATTTAAGGAGCCACATTAATTACCTGTCATGGTGACTGTCCTGTGAGGGTTGCCATGGTGACTGTCCTGTGCAGGTCGAACGGCTATGCATAGTCGGAGTGTTCTCTCTGCTGGGCTCCGAGCTTGCCAGGCTGTCTTGTGTCCTTGCACCTGTCCAGTGGCTTTCAGACAGGTGTGTGCATCCAAAGCTCCTGTGGGACTTGTGGACACAGATTGCAGGGCCCCGTCCCCGAGTTCCTGAGCCAGCAGGTGTAGGGCGGGGCCCAGGGATTTGCACTTTAGCCAGTTACTGAGTGATGCTGCTGCCACTGGTCTTTGGGAACCATTACATGACTCAGATCATCAGGACCCTTTTCTGCCACAGATAGAAGCACAAAAACCTCATTGATGAGTTACGACCTCTTCCTTTCTCATTAGCCCGTGTGCCAGTGAACAAATGCAAAATCGGGCTCCGAAATCGAGGGTGAACAGGAGGGTGTGCCTGCGTGCACTGTGGCCCTCCGGTGTTCCCGGTGAGGCTTGGTTCACGAAGCTTTGTTTGGTACTTTACCGAAAAGAAGATGACGCGTAGGACATGTGCATGCACCTCGGCTTGAGAAACACTGTTTAGGGTGGGCGTTCGGGAACATCGCCTGTGGAAATGCAATGTTGTGTGAGGACCAGCCTCTCCAGACCGGCGAGCAGGGGCCTGTGCCACACCGACGGGAGGAGCTGTCCGCTTCGGCTTGGCACTGGGCAGGCTTTTCCCAGGCGGAGAGCTGCTCTGAACAGGACCAGCTGGGTCAGAGACTGTCCGTGGTCTTTGACAACATCTTTGTGGGTGTTTGTGTTTCGGGCATCCCTATCCATAAAAGCAGTGTGTGCACGACCCCTTCGGATGCAGGATTTCTACAGCTTGGGGCCCTCTAGCTTTCCTTCTCAGTCTCCCAGACTCCTCCAAAGCCAGGGTGTTCCTTCCACTCTACCCTAACACCCCACAGTGCAGCAGTGCCCCGAAGGTTCTAGCTTGTTACCCACCCCGGTACTCCTGGCCTCCCCCAGATGGGCTCCTCCCCGAGACGTCCTCGGTTCCGGTGCTCCTACCACCGTTTGCCGGTCCGGCTTCCCGGGCTTGGAACCTGGAGCAGCCCTTCAGGTGTCTGCATTGCACGCGTCAGACTTCCTCCTGCTCCCAGTCGGAGCCTGTCCCTCCCCTCAGTGCCAGGCAACTACTCCCCAGGTGTGGTTGTACCACTGTATTCACCCAGCACCTGTTCTTGACCCGGGGCACGTCCCGCCAAACGGGAGCTCTGCTGTGAGCACGTGCACCGGCCCTGTCCACCCTCACCTCTGTGCCTGGGGCTGTGCAGTCTGTCATCACATCCACGCATCCAGCCAGCCAGAGACAGCCGTGCTCACACACGTGTACCCCCAGAGGCCTCCAGTCTTCAAGGCCTCGTGGTCCTCGTCCTTGATTGAACTCTGGTCAGAAGTAGGGCAGTTCCCTCTGCACCCATCACCACCGGGAAGAGTGTGCTTATTTATCTGTTTCCTTGTGACTGTGTTCCCCCCAATCCAAGAAGGCGGGCCCTTGTCTGGTTGCCCCACCCGACGCCCGCACCACCACCTGGGGCAGACAGCCGGCCGGCAGGTGTGTGGGGATGGCTGTTTGTGCGTCTGTCTCCCTACCTGGATGGTGAGTTCCGGCGTAAGGCCGGTCTCAGCAGGTGTTTGCGATCGGAGAATGATTTCTAGCGGGAGCGGGCCCCGGACCTGTCGTCTGGAGGCTCTGACCCAGATGCGCCTCCGTGGAGTTGGACCCCAGGGTCTTCATTAATTCCCATCTGTCTCATTGGATTTGTCTTGACTGGAAATCCTGTTGTCTGTTTCTAAAACATATTCCCTTGGGGGCTTGAACACTTGGGCCCCTTGGCAGGCAGGCATTTCATCCCCATCAGGAAACCTCATCAGAGTGATATTAGGCTCAGACGTCAGGAAAATAAAACTCCTCCAAGGAGATGCTGCTGGTTTCTAGATTGGCTCTGGATATAAGCCGTGCGGCCCATTCAGATGGTGTTGCCACCACCTGAGAGTCCGGGCTGGGGCTGGGGTACAGAGCCTCACACTGAACAAGGACGTGAACCGTCGGAGTGCGAAGGAGATGCCCCCCACCCCTGGGAATTCCTCTAGTTCCAGGCCAGAGTCCAGTCCAAGGGACAGCCAAGCACCGGTGTGAGGTGTGAGGTCTTTGTTTCTGAGGGCGGAGCAGTGGCCAGGCACACCGGCCGGGCTGCGGCTTGTTCCCCAGGCCGGTCTTGCCTTGTTTCTGGCCTGGCCGCTCCGGGCTGCACCTCGGAAACCACAAAGCTCCGTGTGTTCGAGGCTCCGACACGCCCGGGATTTCATTTGGTCTGAGCTTCCGTCCAGAGGGAAGGGGCTGGTGTGCCCTCCCTAGGGGCAGCCCTTGGACATCTGCAGACCTTGCTCATCGCATCACCCAGTGTGCGCGCCTGTCACCTTGGCTGTTTCCGTGTGATCCCGAGGGTTCCAGAAGGTTCTAGAGAGGGGCAGGACGTGGAGGGACAGGACTAGCGTCACCGCGCCCTGCCCGTCCTCCTGTCCAGGGCCTTGCTCCGTCCTCACGCCCTGGTGTCTCTTTCAGAGGCGTGAACATGTACGCCATGCTCACCGGGACCCTGCCTTTCACCGTGGAGCCTTTCAGCCTGAGGGCTTTGTACCAGAAGATGGTGGACAAGGAGATGAACCCCCTCCCCACGCAGCTCTCCGCAGGTAGGTGCTTGCTGTCCTTGTAGGTCCGGCCGACGTGAGGGGGTGAGGACGACCCACGGTTCGAGGTCTCAGAGTGACTGGGTCTCAGGGCGTCTCTGCTCGTCCTTCCCTGTTCATTGGAAACGACCTGGTTTCTTCCTTCCACTTCACACACGCGTGTCTCGGGGGTCTCGGGGGCCCCACTGCAGAAGTGACGGTAGGCGGGGCTGCGGTTTGTTTTGCTGTTTGAGTTTTTGAGCCCGGTCAAAACCATTCAAATATATATGTTCAGTCACTTGATTAGACTGAACCTTCGGTGTGCTCGGCTGGTGTTCTCAAACGAGCTGGCTCACGTTTCGTAAACAGTTCGTGTTAGGGTTGGGTTTCAGATCCAATAAATTTAGTGCAATTTACTGTTTTGTTTGGATCACAGTTCACTTCAAGTTCCTGGTCTCAGGTTGGTCTTGACAATCATTTAATTGGCTCCTGAGAATTAACTCAGCTTTGCCCGGCCGGTGTGGCTCAGTGGATGAGTGTCCTTCCACGGACTGAGCGGTCCCCATTTGATTCCCAGTCAGGGCACAGGCCCATGTTGCGGGCTCAATCCCCAGTGGTGGGGGGGTGGTGGTTCAGGAGGCGGCCAATCAGTGTTTCTCTCTCACATGGATGTTTCTATCTATCTCTTCCTTCCTCTCTCTAAAAAAAAATCCAAAAAAAAAGAATGAACTCAGCTTTACTGAGATAAGGCATGTGACCAAAAATAAAGTAATTATTTCATTTCAACTTATGATACACGGTTAAAACATAGCATTTTTATTTTACTACCCTTATGTGTTTTCCCCTTGAGTTTATAAAGCATCCATGAAGCTGACCCTGAATTTATGTTTGCAAAGTCGAGTCCAAATGCAAATGCATTCTTGCATGAAACAGTCTGATTGGTTCACAGTTGCACCTTTGCTTGGGAGGCATGTGCTTTGGGAAGAGGAGCTACAGCCAGACCTTGTCAAAGGAACACTTCCCACCGAGAGCAGTAGCTCAGAGTTCACAAGTGTGCACAGTGTTGAGGAAGTTGTTACATTTGCCAGCGCCAGGAAGACAGAGGACAAGACAAATTCAGTCTCTACCTGTGTAGAGCTTACCTAGCAACGGGGAAGGCAAAAAATAAACATCAACAAACAGGTGTGATGTTCAGTAGTGTGAGAAAAGCAAGTGAATCACAATAAGAGCCTAGAGAATAAAGATAGTATTTTTTTTTCTTTATTGGTTTTAGAGAGGAAAGGACAGGGAGAGAGAGAGAGAGAGAGAGAGAGAGAGAGAGAGAAACATCGATGCGAGAGAGATGCATCTATTGGTTGTCTCCCGCACAAACCCAACCAGGGCCAGGAGTGGAACCTGCAATCCAAGTACGTGCCCTCGATCAGGAATCGAACCCAAGACCCTTCTGTCCATGGGCTGACACTCCAACCACTGAGCCAGACTGGCCAGGGCCCAGGTACAGGTTTTTGTGTGAACATATTTTTATATCTCTGGGACAGATGCTTAAGAGGGAGACTGTGGGTCAGACAGTGAGGGGAGCTGCCGGTCCTGTGCGGGTGGCCTGGCCGATTGGCCTTCCCAGGAGCAATGGGCGAGGGATCCAGTGTCTCTGCACTGTTGCCAGCATTGGATGCCATCACTATTTTTTTGTTTAAATCCTCACCCAAGGATATTTTTCCTTTGATTTTCAGATAAAGTGGGAGGGAGAGAGAGAGAGAGAAACATAGATATGAGAGAGACACATCAATTGATTGCCTCCTGCACGACCCCGACCAGGGCCGGGGATCGAATCACAACCGAGGTACATGCCCTTGACTGGAATGGAACTTGTGACTCTTTGGTCCACAGACCAACATTCTAACGGCTGAGCCAAACCAGCCAGGGCGCCATCACTATTTTTTATTTTAGGGATCTGATGATCTCTTGTGGCAAAGGTGATTTGTTGACCAGCAAATACCTCTCAAAGTGACCCTGGTGTTCCTCATGGGGTTTAGAACCTGTTTAGTCCTCTGGACCCATAACAAAGGACAATAGGAGGATGTGTTTGTATCCCCATGCCTGCAAAAGGCAGCCCTTTGGATCCCAGGGAGACCCCGAGGCCCTGGAGAGCTGCTCTTCATTGTATTAGTCAGGGCAGGCCAGGTTCTGCTGCAGTAACAAATGGCCCCCAACTCCCAGTGGCTTGAGGCAATAGTGACCTGTGTCCAGTTCATGCTGAATGTTTATCGGATGTCACGGGAAGGTTCCCAGGCCGATGGAGCCATAGCTCCCGGCTTTCTGAAACATGTCACGGGGAAAGTGCAGCCCGACTGGTCTCACAGGCGAGCAGCCGAAAGTGTCTCAAGCACAGGCTGTGGGAGGAGGGGCAGGGGGTTCAGCCCACAGTCGTCACTAGGGTGGGTGGGCCAGGGAGAGAACAGCACAAGAGTCCATCTCGTTACTTCAGAACCTGCCTGTGTTGACCCCGATTGTAGACCCAGACTCCATGGGCCAGGCTCTGAGTACCTTCCAATGGTGAAATTAAATTCACCCTGAAGAAGTAAAAACTGCCCCTTGTAGAAGATAAAAATTGTCCAAAGGAGCCCTGGCTTGTTTGGCTGAGTGGTAGAATGTCAGCCTGCGGACCAATGAGTTGCGGGTTCGATTGCAGTCAAGGGCATGCACCTCGGTTACGGTTCGGTCCCCAGCTCTGGTTGGGCTCGTGCAGGGGGCAACCAGTCGATGTGTCTCTCATGTCAATGTTTCCCTCTCTCCCTCCCACTCTATCTGAAGATAAATAGAAAAATAGCCTCAGGTGAGGATTAAAAAAAAAAAAGTCCAAAGGAAATACCAAAGCAGACGTATCAGAGGTGATCCGGCCTCCCGGCGGGGGGGTCCAGCTCCGGGGAGCGGGAACGTGACTCCGGCCCGGCGGTTTGTGCGTGTGGAAGACCTGCCCTCTCCTGTCGGACTTGGCTGCCGGGGCGTGCCAAGCAGGAACTGCATTTTTGTATCTGATTTCACATTAGGGGATCTGGATCCCTGGCTTTTAAAAAAAACGATGGGCTCTGTACAGCCTGTTTCACCCAGCCCCCTGCCAGGTGTGGATCACGTGTGCAGGTGCTGGACACGGTCCTGTTGCCCAGAGCCTGGGTAATGACTCAGCTGTTCAGGTGTGTGGCCGGGGGGCAGCCCACACTTCGACCACTCGGGTTGTGGGTGGGCCCATGAGGTCGAGTCCCAGCTACGCACCAGTTGCCAAGGGAGCTAGGGATGTTCAGTTGGGGGGGTCTGCTGCTGCCCTCTGACAGCCCCCCATTTCCCCAAATCTTCACCCTTTGTACCCCCACCAAGTTTATCTCTTCTCCCTTCCCATCAGCCTGGCCCACCTTCAGTTATGATGCCATCTGTTTGCGCCCCCAAATGCTAGTTTGCCGGTAAACAGGACTCGCTGCCATTTACGGAATGGCCCTGCCTGGGGGCTTTTCATGGGCTCTCGTGTCCCCATGGCAACCACAGGTAACTGCTGTCATTTCCAGTGTGTGCGTGAGGCTGAGGCTGCATCTCAGTGCGATTAGGTAGCTTCTGTTTTTGAACTTGTGTCTGCTTGACCCCAAGCCTGGATTTTCCTACTCTGCTGTATACCTCTCCCTGTTTCCTTCTTTCCTTGGGCGTGGGACGCCCGCCCACCCGCCTCCCCCACGCAGACTTGGGGGTGGTATCTGCTGTCCTCATGTTTGAGGACCATCCACATGGAAATGTCCGGATTGAAACATGCCGTCTTAAGTATCTCCCTGACACCTCTTATCACTTTGACGGCTCTGTCTCCCATAGTTGTAGTGATTTCGCCACGTCTCTTGATTAGCCTGCTGTTTTTAGATTAAGTTGGAAGGGTTTCTGCCAAATTTGGGTTGAAAACAATGCAGCGTGACCGCCCTTGGGAGTTCACGGTGCGCGCTTCTGAGAGCCGCCCCGGTCTCCACGGACACAGACACTCCTGGACGTGGGCCGGGTTTCCTCCCGATGGCACCACCACCCGATGAAAATACTGCACGTTGGAAATGCACTTACTGCGCGACCCCGGGACAGCGCGGCCGAGAGCTGCACACGACACCCCTCCGCGCCTGGGCAGCGTCATCCGACAGAGCCCGCTCCACGGTCGAGTGTTGAGAAGCTCGTGTAGTGTCGGACCATCGTAAATCAGGGACCATTTGCAGGTTGAAGACTTAAGCTTTTGGGGTCTTTCTAGGTCTCGCCTGCAGAGTTTCTGGTTCTGGTTCTGCTTCTTGGAGCGGGTCCATTGCGGCGCCGCGGAGGCCTGGCCGGGCTCAGACACTCCGGACAGCTCACCTTTCGGCACCGCGACGGCGATGGCCCTGCGCTCCCCGCCACCGTGCTCCACGGCCCCACGCGAAGCTGCAGGGCGGGGTCGGCCTTGTGAGGTTGGGCCCAGGAGCTCACCTGTCACTTTGTCTCATTGCTGCTCTTCCTGGGAGGCGGAGGGCGAGGCCCGGGCCCATGGACTGCGTGGGCGGCACCGGTTTGGAGCCGATGCCCTGTGTCCCTCCGCCCTGTCCCTGGCACAGCGGTGAGGTGTTCACATGAGCCAGGCCACGCGCGGAAGGCTGACACCTCACGGAGGACGTGTTTCACACACGAGTGTGTGCCGTACAGGTGACGAGAGCCACGCAGAGGGGCCCATGTGGCAGCTCTGACGGGTGGCGCAGCGCCTGGCCGTGCCGCCGGCTCCCGGGACAGTGGAGAATATTTTCATCTCTTCCGCCCATGCCTCGTGGGGATTTTCAAGACCCTAACACAAAGCTCAGAGGGCTCTAAGGATGTCTTCAAAGTCCTTCTGGACAATGACGTGACATGTGTGATGTCCAAAGTCCACAGTTTGTCAGTAGAGATTGTAACTACAATTGCTGGGCTCAGCGGTTTGTGCTGATGCAGAGCCCATGGTTCTGAAGAGAGGGAGACGCACCTGCCGCCTGTTCTGGGCTCTTCTGGGTGATCACACTGAGAAGGCGGCCGGTCCGTGAGGGTGATCGACAAGGTGTCGCAGGAGCATTGGCCACTCCACAGCTTCTCCATGTCAGCCCAGTACGCCACATCCCGTCTCTCTGACCCGCAGGTGCCCCCTGACCCAGCATCCAACGGACTCTTGCAAAGTCCGGGAGTTGAGAGAAGGGAGATACTGCCCCGTGGTGTGGCTCAGTGGTTGAGCATGATCCATCCACCAAGAGGTCACCAGTTCAATTGCCGGTCAGGGCCCAGGCCCAGGTTGTGGGCCCGATCCCCAGTGGGGGGCCTGCAGGAGGTGGCCAGTTGATGTTCTCTCTCATCGATGTTTCTCTCTCTCACTCTCTCTCTCTAAAATCAATAAAGAGAAAATTTTTTTAAAAAGAGAGAGAGAGAAGGGAGATACAGTTTCCAAGAAAGAGGAAAACCTCATTTTGGAGATGTTCGTTTTTCAGACCATTGAAGTCAGTGCAGGGAGGTCTTATCCGGAGACGCAGCCATCAGAGGGTTAAATCATCTCACACTGCGCTGATGTCTACACATGTCTGGTTACCTACTGCATTTTCATTTGATTATTTTAATGGGAATTGTAAGTTAATATTTTATTTTTTGATTGCCTACTACTCGTGTAAAGGGAGATGACCTTCTGGTGACCTCATCGACAGTGTGGGGATTCACCTGGAGGAGTTACTAGGTGGCGTGAAGGGGGTGTCTTTGGGGTGGACCCTGGCATCACAGTGAGCACCTCTTTCGATGGCTCCATTGCTCCCCTGCAGAAGACAGGGAGGCGGAAAATACCCACCGTTCTGTAAAGTTGTTTTAAAATGACATCTGGCGCCTGTGAGAAGGTGCGAATTCCTACGACTTGTCCTCAGAGGGTTTGATTATCTTACAAAACGCAGGAGTAGCTTTGAGAGAAGCATAGGAAGTGTGGGGACCGCGCACATGAAGACGATGTTCAGGACCTGTGAATTGGTACATTGGAAACTGGACATCCCGGACAAAGCCACCTAAAAGCCCTCTGGATGTGTTAGGGACGCGATAGCCCTGCTCCCTGGGGTAAGTCACGGCCGCGGTCCCACAGCCCAGTGACAGCGTCTTCATTCTGGGGCCGTCCTGGTGGTTACGGCAGACGAGGACACCCACGTCCACATGCAGGACGATGTTGGAGCCTGTGACTTCATGTGCCGTATAACGTTTCTCCATGTCATCCGCTGGCTCAGTTGTTCTGCCTCCTGAAGGCTGCATTTATGCTACCGAGAGACCAGCCAGCCCCTCTCCGTCCTGCCCAGGGGGACAGCAGGAGCTCTGTGTTTAGCCAGAGGAGCCCGAGGCCGCCTGCCAAGACCATCTCTGCCAGGAAGGAAGGAAGGGCTGGGAAGGGCTGGGGAGAGCGGGCAGTCGGTCCATTGTCTCTCGCACCCTGGCCTTCCCCAGCATGCCCAGCGTGGCTGATGTGACGCTGACGATGGGCACGGACTTGACTGGCCCCTTCGGTTTCGGGGTTAGTGCAAAAGGAGAGGGCCCAGCAGGAACACCAGGGTTTCCGGTGGGCACTTCCCGGACCTTCGTCCACACACCGGGGTTTTAAACTTGAGTCGCTGGCCCTGGCCGGTTTGGCTCAGCGGTTAGAGCGTCCGCCTGCGGTCCGGAGAGACCCGGGTTCGGTTCCCGCTAAGGGCATGTGCCTTGGTTGCAGTTTGTCCCCGGCCCTGGTTGGTCGTGCGGGTGGCAGCCACTCGATGTGTCCCTTTCACGTCGATGTTTCCCTCTCTCTCTCTTCCTCTCTCTCCCTCCCACTCTGTCTGTACAAAAAATGGAAAAATGTCCTCGGGTGAGGATAAAAAAATAAAAAAAATAAACTTGAGTCGCTGTTCGAGTTGACAGCTGGTGGACTGGCTGTGGTGTTCCGTGGGCCAGTCGGCTCTGCCCAGCGGCCTGGGCTCCTGCTGGCTGGGTGCTCCCGAGCTCCAAGTCGGGGCTACATGGGCCACCATGGAGAAGGGCTTTAAATAGAGGACTGGAAAGAAAACAGGAGCACCCTGGCCTCCTGAGACTACGGTGAGGGCAAGTCGGGGCCCTGCTTTCCAGCGCCTTCAGCCCTGGGTGCCCTTCCACCTGCTCGGAAACCTGCCATGAGGGAGCCTTCGTCTTCGCCCTCGCACCCCGAGCAGGGACCGCGGGCATCTATTCGGCTCACCTGCAGAGGGTGACAGGAGCTGTCGCAGCTGTACTGTGTGGGGCGCTGGGGGGCCCGTGCCTCTTGCTGTCCCATCTACCTGGGGTACCTGCCGAACAGGTGTGTTCGGCTCTGGACTTGGGGCCCGGAGATGCAGGGAGCGTGCTGTGGTGGCTCGGGCGGTGGCGGGTCACCTGCACGGAGTCTCGGTGGCGTCTGCGCCCCCTTGTGACCGCTGTGTCCTCGGCCCACTGTCTCCACAGGAGCCATCCACTTCCTGCGCTCGCTGCTGGAGCCCGACCCCGTGAAGAGGCCCAATATCCAGCAGGCTCTGGCCAATCGCTGGCTCAATGAGAACTACGTGGGCAAGGTGCCGTGCAATGTCACCTACCCCAACAGGTAAGCCGGCGCACTGCGGAGGCACCCTGCCCGGCCGGCCTGCGGGCCCTGCTGGCTCTAGACAGGAAGCTGTGTGGGGTCAAGAAAGGGCTGCTTTCTCGTCCCTGGCCCCTCTACAGCCACACGGCTCAGGCCCAGCTCAGTGCACGGAGGCGGGGTGCACGGACCATCCCATGTACCTGGTGGGGTGCCTGGCAGAGGGGGGGCGAGGCTGAAATCCTGGCCTCATCCCCCTTGTCACCCCTCCTACTGGGGTTTCCTTTCCAGAGGGGCCTGTCAGCCACGCAGGGGAACCCTTCAGACCAGCTGTGGCCCAAATGAGTGTGTGTGCGTATGTGAGTGTAAGTGTGTGAATGATCGTGTGTGTGAGTGTGTGTACATGTGAATGTGTGTATCTGAGTGTGTGTGAATGTGTATATCTGAGTGTGTGTGAATGTGTGTATCTGAGTGTGTGTGAATGTGTGTGTATGTGAATGTGTGTGTGAATGTATCTGAATGTGTGTATGTGAATGTGAGTGTATCTGAGTGTGAGTGTATCTGAGTGTGTGTATCTGTGGGTGTATCTGAGTGTGTGTATGTGAATGAGTGTGTATCTGAGTGTGTGTGTATGTGAATGTGAGTGTATCTGAGTGTGTGTGTGTATGTGAATGTGAGTATCGGAGTGTGAGTGTTGAGTGTGTGTGTATGTGAATGTGTGTGTAGCTGAGTGTGTGTGTATGTGAATGTGAGTGTATCTGAGTGTGATGTATCTGAGTGTGAGTGTATCTGAGTGTGTGTGTATGTGAATGTGTGTGTATCTGAGTGTGTGTATGTGACTGTCCTCTGTGACGGTATCTTCAGAATGCCTGGAAGGCCTAGAAACTTCCACCGGCACTTATGCATGCGCAGTGCTGATTTCTCCACGTGAGATGGGCAGAGGGGTCTGTCTTGGGGAGGAAGTTCTAGAAGAACTTAAGCGGACACGGGTGGACATTCCTGGAGCCTGCATCCATGCTGCTGGCCACGGCCACAGACCAAGGGGGTCCACTCCGCTGTCATCTGGAATTCTAGTGCTGGACCCATGGGCGGTAATGTAAACAAAGTCTAGGTCAGTAGGTTACCAAGGGAACCTAGAAATACACTGGCTTCCAACGCCGCTCGTTTCTCCTCCTTGTCCGCGTCTGCATTCGCGGAGAATCGCGCCGTGGCCTCCTGTTGCAGCTTTTCCATAGGCTGAAGCAGACAGGCCTTTGTAGACTGAAACTTAAACTCGCGCATCCAGGTGAGGGTTTTTGACCTTGGCCTTGGTCGGAGGCGTAAGGCTGCGTGTGAACTAGGGAGGGGCCGTGAAAATGGTTCAGACCACGTGCAGTAGGCGGGGCTGCGTGTCTCCTGCCTCCGGGCCCCTCGCTCACCTCCGCCAGGGCGAATCCGTGCCCGGTTTGGAAGGAATGAAACCAGAATGCCAAACTGTCGGGGAGGCACGTTTTACTTACTGTCTTTATTTTGAAAAAATGTTGAAGGTGGGAAAAAGTGATTGTGATTTTTCTGGACACACCAGCCCACACAGGTAAATGGAGTGAGACCATGGGACCTGAGGAAGAGAGGTTTTCTTGATAAAGTGTATCTTATCGCTTCCCAACATGCCCTGCCCCAGATTTCATTATTTTAGATGTTACCCATGTTTTCTGTTGGGGAAGAAAGAAAAGAAGGTCCTGTTTTTGCACCCCTCTTCTCGAAAGCCTTCTGGGAAGTCCTTCGAGACCCACGTTGATCACCGATAGGCCAGAGGACAATGTCGAAGTACACATAGTAGACGTACACCCTGGTTAGCCAGCCGCTGTTACTGTGCTCGGGCCTGGACAGTGTCCCGTCCCTCCAGTGAGCTCTGGGGAGGGAGGGGAGATGGGCAGTGTTGGTGCCCAGGGCAGAGTTGGACCCAAGTGGCCTACAAGGGGATTTAGTGAGAATGTACTCAGTTATACCTGTGTGCTGCAACGTGTTACCCTGGTCTGTATCATGCGCACATGGAGAGAGAAGACAAATGCAGTAACTGATACTAGAGAGCACCAAGTAGATACATTGTCTCCTGAGAAATGTTTCACTGTTACTCTGAGTCAGTAGGCAGGGTATGTTTGGGCAGACTTGTCCTGGTTGTACAGAGAAAGGATCTGAAGGGCAGAGATGGGGTATCTGCCCCTGCTCATGTCCCTCCTCTCACCCACCCCTCAGCTGCACCCTGGTGGCACCCCACACCCAGAGCACCCTCTTGGGTCTTGCTCCAGGTAGATGGGTTGATTGGCCAGGGTAGGGTCACTAGGCCATGATATGGTTGGTCAGGTGATATAATTAGGCTGTGGTCTGATTGGCCAACAGGGCACATAGCAGTGGTCTGATTGGCCAGGAGCAGGGCCAAGTGACCTTGGTCTGATTGGCCAGGAATGGGGTCAAGTAAGGTGGTCTGATTGGCCAGGGGCAGGGCCACTCCCCCAGAGACATCACCAGGTCTTTCAGACAACAGATCCGTCAGTGTCCAGCACTGGCAATCTTCAAGTCGTATCCTTTTCAACAAACATTTGTTACCATTCATCCTGCCAGCCCCCTTCCTGCCTGTCAGTGTGGCTGGTAGAAGTGAGGAGGCGGGTGTCCCAGTTCCTGGGCACGTTGGGTGGCAGAGGGAGTGGTGCCAACCAGCCTGTGAGCGTGGCAGGTCGGTTTTCCCTGTGTGCACCGTTGTGGATGGGGTCGCACTGTGTGGTTTTTGAGATGTTGTGGTTCTGGGACTCCATCAGAGGCCCCTCCCCCTTGGCAGGGGCTGCACAGGTCTCCGGGCGCACACGGATCTTCTTCAGGGCCTGAGAATGTGCTGGCTGGTGACACCCCTGCTTCCAACACGCACGCCCTGGGCCCCTCAACTGCCAGCCTGTTCGTGGCACCCACCTGTCTGCGAGGGAGCGGTGCGTGTGGAGGCGTACCATCTGGCCAGGGTGCCCGGGTTTGAATCTGGGCCTGCTGCTTCCTGCCTCTGTGACCCTGGGCCAGTTGCTGCACAGTTGTGGACTTAATGTCTTCGTCCGAAATCGGGGTGATGGTAGTGCCTACTCATAAGACTCTCGTGAGGACTAAATTATTTTCTCTCTTCCCCACTGGAACCTAAACTCTGAGAGACAGGGACTTGTTGAATGAATGAATGAATGAATGAATGAATGAATGAATGCCTGGTGCTTTGACACTTTATTACAAGGAGTTTATCCTCCAAATTCTCCTACGAAGGTTTAAATTCTCTGCTCAGAGCACCCTGCTTTGCAGCTGAACCCCACGTTTCCTGTTGGTGAACTTGGGAGCTCACACTGTCCCTTTAAGCACCATCTGGGCTGGTCCCGGACACGCTCCTGTATCACCCAACTTACACCCACCTCAGTGTGGGCTCCGCCACGTCCAGTCACTACCGTTTAAGGAAGAATGCCAGGTTGTAGAGAAATCTGGGACGGCTGGGGAAAGTTGAATAGAGTCTAGATATTAGAAGATATTAAGAGATTACTAACATTTTGCTGGGTGTGCTGATGGTGCTGTGATTCTGCAGGACACACCCTTTGTTTTCAAAGATGCGCACGGAGGTATTTATGAATGAAATGTCATGATGCCTGGGATTTAAAATACTTTAGCAAAGGAGGAAGGGAAGAAGGAAGGAAGGAAGGAAGGAAGGAAGGAAGGAAGGAAGGAAGGAAGGAAGGAAGGAAGGGAGCAAAAGGAAGGGAGGAAAAGGAAGGGAGGGAGGGAGGAAGGAAGAAGGAAGGAAGGAAGGAAGGAAGGAAAGGGAAGGGAGGAAGGAAGGAAAGAAGGAAGGAAGGAAGGAAGGAAGGAAGGAAGGAAGGAAGGAAGGAAGGAAAGGGAGGAAGGGAAGGGAAGGGAGGAAGAAGGAAAGATGGAAGGAAAGGAGGAAGGAAGGAAGAAGAAAGGAAGGAAGGAAAGACGAAAGGACAGAAGGAAGGAAGCAGGTGTGGGTGGTCACACCCTCCCCTCTGCTGTGTACACGTGGCATGTTCATGGTGAAGTCACGTGATGAACGGAGCCGTTGTCCGCGCTGCGTGCCCATGGGCGCGCTCAGCGGGCCTGTCCGAGGGTGCGGGGTGACAGCTCCCTGTCCCTGTGCCAGGATCTCGCTGGCAGACCTGAGCCCGAGCGTGGTGCTGCACATGACCGAGAAGCTGGGCTACAAGAACAGCGACGTGGTCAGCACGGTGCTGGCCAACCGCGCCTGCCACATCCTCGCCGTGTACTTCCTCCTCAACAAGAAGCTGGAGCGCTACCTGGCCGGGGTGAGTGGAGAGGGGGCGCCTGACCCGGGGCCCGCTGGCGGGGGGCCTGCGCTGAGTTCAGACCGGGGTGAGGCCGAGTGTCCTGGCGCGGGTGCGTCCCTTCTGCAGGGCCCTCCAGATGTCCCGCGTCCAGAGATCCCGCCTCATTGGCTCCAGGTCTCCTCTGCCTTTTCCTGGCTCCTCTTCCCCATCCCCGATAGAGGCACCGGGCAGACCGGAGCTGTGTCTCCGCCGCCCGGGGTTGGGCAGCGCTGGTGTTCCCTTCCCCTCCTGAGGGCTGGGACGAGTTCAGGTGGCCTGGGTCCTGTGGGGACAGCTGGGAGCCCCACAGCCCGAGGCGGAGTCACGGTGCCCTCCCACCGCGGGCACCTTCGCCCTGGGCCCCGAGAGGTCGTCTCCCGGGTACGGGGGTTCCCTGTGCGGTACCAGGACTTGGCTTTGCCTCAACCATCTCTCTTTAGAGGGACAACAGCTAGAAGCGAGTGTGTGAGGAAGTGGGGTCGAAGGCAGGGGGGTTCCACACACCAGCCTCCCGCTCTCTGAGGGGAGGCCCCCAGGCAGGTTGGGAATGTCGGGAAACCCGCCTGACGCCTGATTGTGTGCCCACTGTCACGAGGGACACTCCACCCTGTGTGCAGGGACCGTGGGATCCGAGTGGGCTCATCACTGTGAGGAAGACGTTTAGAATCCAGAACATGAAGATGAGCTTCTAAAGCTTCATTTGTTATTTTTAGTGCTATGAAAGGTATGTGATCGCCCAATTTCACTGGGCAGTGGGCTTGGAAAGCTGTTGTGAGGTGTCTGTGTCAAGGTGAGGGTGAGGACCCGCCCGCGGCTGGGACACGGTCTCCGTGCCGTAGCACGGACGGCCCAGGCGGTGCCAGGAGACAGGAGGCTTACGGGGGACTCTAGCGAATGGCTCTGGGAGCCGCCTGGAAAACACGCCGAGGAGGAAGAGCCTCCACCTGTGCAGGTGTTTCGAGGCTGATTCTGCGAAGGGTGTTAAATGACCCACGGGACTGCTGCTTTTGGTGACCCACCGGAGGAAGGATGTACGTGCAAAGAGCCACTCCCAACAGCACACGGCTCTCAGGACGAAGAGCGGTGTTGTGGTGATGGGGGCGCAGGTGCGGCCGCGAGGCGGGGTTCTGGACACAGAGCCGTGGTCGGAAAGCCGCTGTGCGGAGGAGTCAGGGCCGGGACGACAGGACCTTCGACACAGTGTCTTGTTTCTGTCACCTTGTCAGGTGATAAGGAGCGACTCAGAAAGTGCCTTGTAGCGGACAGGTTCTCTGTTCTCCTGAGACAATGAACTGCAGAGACAGGACCCGGAGCTCTTCCCATCTCTCTCTGTGAGGTCACATGTCCCTGCCCCTCACCTTTGTCGTCACTCTCAGTTCCCGTTTTCTGAGGACCCCGTGCAGCCTTTCAGGCTTGTCATTTACAAATAAACAGGCACGTCTTGTGGGTGCCCGCTTACAGCTTTTCCACTCCTGGGGCTCAAGGGCACACCATTTGGGACCACCGTGGTGGAGGACCGTAGTTATGAATGTAAATACTGACGTCAAAGGGGATCGACGCACTGATTTTCTTTTCAAATGATGTCGTCCGGAAGGTAGTTTTTAGAAAGGGTCTCCACGAACCCGACCGCCAAGCTCACGGTGTCCCTCTGTGGAGGACGGAGTGGCTACTTCCCCTCAGCGGGGGGCTCAGACTCGGGTGTCTCCTCCCCTGCAGACACACCCTGGCTCCTCGGCCTGCTCTGCCGCTGTCAGGCGTGTCCTGACGCGTCCGGGGTCTCGCCATCCGCTGTGTTTCTGTCTCTCACTGTCTGGCACCAGGGCTGCAAAGCTGAGCGTGAACTTGTCTCCCAAGAACGTTCTCTGGAAACAGCTCCTGGAATTCTACCTGGAGGCGGTTCTCACTTCACTGTGTCTGGTTCTTTTTTTATCCTCCCCCGAGGACATTTTTGCATTTACCTTCAGCTAGAGCAGGAGGGAGAGAGGGGGGAAGAGAGAGAGAGAAACATCGATGTGAGAGAGACACATCGAGTGGCTGCCACCCGCACGACCCCAACTGGGGCCAGGGACAAACTGCCACCGAGGTACGTGCCCTCAGCGGGAACTGAACCCAGGACTGTGTGGTCCACAGGCCGACGCTCTAACCGCTGAACCACACCAGCCAGGGTGGACAGCTGCTTTTAACTGCAGTGACTCCCCACAGACGACAGCCAGGCCGTTTAGTAATTCCTGCAGGCGGCTCGTGTCATCGCGTGTCCCCCCTGTTCCTAATCTCCACCGATGGCGAACCACTCTTAATTTTGAAAATGAAACGAGTGACCGAAAAAGTAAAATCTGAGACCTTCCTCGTTGGTTCGTTCTCCCCTTCTCTCTTGGTTCTTGTTTCCTTTCTTCGAACGCCAAGAGAAGCCGGGCTTTTTAATTTGAGATCCTGTAGGGACCCTCTGTTGGCTGATGAATTAATGGGCCATTTAATTTTCCCTGTCTCCAGGCGGGCTGCCCCTAGATCACAGGTGCAGGTGTCTGTCTCCTGGAACGGGATGAGTTGCTGTGACTTTTCCTGGGGTGGGCGGTAGGCAGGGCTTAGGGCTGTTTTCAGACAAGCAGGTAACTGAGGTTGGTATCAAATCAAATGAGCTCTGCTCCCTGCTCAGGCCTGTGTGCTCTGCTCTTGGCACAGACGCAGGACCGAGTGAGGCCGGCCCGGAGCGGGACCTGCCAGGGCCACCTGGCCTCACCTGGCTGGCCAGCCCCTCGGGGCCTCAGCCAAGCACTGGTGTGAATGAGTGACCCTCTGTAACGGGCATTCCCGTGTTCCCTCTGCTCCTCGATAGAAGTCCGACGTCCAGGACGGCGTCTGCCCCAGGACCCAGCTCCCCCAGATGGAGAGGTGCAGGCCCGGCAGGGAGCCCTACGAGGTGAGCGACCCCCAGCGGGACTGGTCTGAGGAGCCGCGGTCTCCATTGCGGGGGGCGGGGAACAGGGAACAGTTATTATAGGACCTAGACGTACAGAAGACAGTGCCGCTTGCCTGAGCCCCGAGGCATGGTTCACGGGGGCTCAGTCTGCGGCCGGTTCTCAGCTGTGGCCGAGCGTCAGACTAGATGGCGGGTGCCCGGCGACTCTCGGGCCAGATGGGGCGTCGGTATTTGTTAAAGCTGCTTGGATGAGTCCATGGGGCAGCCACCATGGGAAACCGCTGTCCAGTCTCCAGACGGTGAACATGAGCTGCTCGGAAACAGCGCTGAAGGGGCCCTGGCATCAGGGCCAGAAGGAAAGTGAGGAACGGAAATGCTTTCGGCCGGGCGAGCCTCCCCAGGCTGGCTGCCACCTGGCACACACCTGCGGGGAAATTCCAAGGTCCTTGGGTTTCAGAGTCATAGCTGGTGTCGTGTGGCAGGTTGTCCCAAATTTGGCCCCTGCATACGTGCTGGAATGGGACTGTGCCTGGAAGTTCAGATCCAGGGCCAGGAGCCCCAGGCGCGCCCCGCCCCCTGCCCCGCCCCCGGCCCGCCCGGCCCGCCTCCCTCACCCTGTGTCTGCCTTCTGGGGGTTTTCCTCTTCCATGTGCCCCCGTCCCCCACCCCCAGAGCCTCTCCTGCGACACCAGGAATTCCTTGTTTGGGGAGAAATCAAAAAGGGACCCTTCCTCCGCCCTGCGTGAGGCCGATGGGTGCCCGCTCCCCTCTTCCCTTCTCCAGCTCCGAGGTTTCATCCGGATCCCACGTTCTCCCAGGGCACCAGGGAAGGGGTTCTGGGTTCACCCTGGGCGCAGGCTGCAGCCAGGCAGTGGGGGTGGCAGGGCAGGGGACAGGGCTCCCTGCAGCAGCAGAGTGTGGGCACGGCCCAGGCCGCCCCGCGGGGAAGGTGACGTGTGACGTGGCAGGAGCTCAGGGAAGGGCACCCGTGTGTCCGGCTGGGGGACAGTGATGCGGCTGTCCAGTCCAGACTGAGCCTGGGGGACGGCATGGTTCAAGGAGGCGCAGATGACAGGGACCAGCGAAGACAACGGGGGTCCAGGGGGACGGGGGAGACCCAGGAGGCAGTGCTGCCCGGGCGAGGTCACCTGTAAAGCTGCAGTGATGTCAGGGAGCAGCTGGTTGTCCTGGGACCTTGGAGAGAACAGCGGGTGGGCGTGGAAAAGCCGGAAGAGAGGTCGCTAAGGTTGCCTGTTCGAGGGGTCAGACAGGGATCGTGAATCCCTCTCTTGGTGAAGAGGAGGGGGGGACATGGCTCGGCTTGATGGACGTGTGTGGGGGGGTGCGTATTCGGAGCAGCCAGGGTGGGGCGAGGCCCTGACCCCAGGCTGGGGCTGAGTGGGGCGCAGGTGGAGGGGCGGACTCCCCGGAGCTCAGTCCTGCTCTGTGGCAGCTGCCTACTAACCCTCCTCTTCCAAAGGGAAGTGTGTCTTAAATAGCCTTCCCAGAACCAACCCCAAGCCCGTTCTCTGCCTGCAAATGGCAGCCCCACCCTCTGGACAGGGCGGAAACCCAGCCGTCCTTTTAACTCCTTTCCGCCCCCCCAGAGCCAGGCTGGCCCCAGGTTCTGCCTGCTGGACTCCTAAACTCGAACCTGTCTCCTGTCCCCTCCCCACCCCCATCCCGGGCCCGGCCACAGTCACCACTGCCTTGCACCTTGGCACAGCCTCATCGCTCGTCTGCCCCCTAACGGATGGTGTCCCGTCCTGCTCACACCTTAACCCCGAAGGCAGACGTGGCCACGGGGGAGGCAGGGTCCACGGTTAGCCCCCCCTGAACCCCAGCAGCCGCTGCCTTCCCAGTTCTACCTCTTCTCCCCCACGAGACAGAGGAGCTGAGTTTGTGGAGAAGCTCCCCTCCTGGGATTCAGTGCTGGGTGTTTTTTGCCCACGTCTGTACCGTTTCCCGGGAAGGCGGAGATTATGTCTGTGATGCAGGGCACAGGTATGAGCACCTCGGGCGAGCGTCGGGGCTCCTCTTCCTAAAAGGGGCCGTCGAGGACTCGGGGGCTCAAGGTGGGGTCCGTCATCACTTCTTATTTTTTTATTTTTAAATTTTTTATTTTTGTTATAGATATGTTTCCTTTTTCCCCCATTGACCCCTCCTCCCCCTTTCTCCCCGCCCCGTCCCCAGCTTTGTTGTCCGTGTCCATTGGTCATGCGTACATGCATGTGAGTTCTGTGGTTTATCCCCCCCCTCTTCTGGGGATTTTCAGTCTGTACCCTACTTGTCATGACTTTTTAAAAAATATATCTTTTCATTGATTTTTTCAGAGAGAGGAAGGGAGGAGAAATAGAAACATTGATTGGCTGCCTCCTTCATGCCCCCAACTGGGGATCAAGCCCGGAACCCAGTCGTGTGCCCTGACTGGGAATCAAACCAGGACCTCTCAGTCCCTGGGGCGACGCTCAGTCCACTGAGCCACACCCACCGGGCAGTCATCACTAAAGCCACACAGAGCCTGAAACCATTTTTGTTCAAGTCCTTAAAAATCACGTTAGTTTGTAGAAGAAGGTCAAGGAGAACAGTAATACCTTATCCGGCCGGTGTGGCTCAGTGGTTGAGCGTCGACTCATACCCCAAGAGGTCGCTGGTTCGATACCCCATCAGGGCACATGCCCAGGTTGTGGGCCTGATCCCCAGAGGGGGGCATGCAGGAGACAGCCAATCGATGTTCTCTCTCATCAATGTTTCTCTCCCTCTCCCTTCCTCTCTTTCTGAAATCAGTAAAAAAAAAATAATAATAATTAAAAATAAATAAAATGTTCACTTTGTCTTCTAGCCAGTTTGGTTTAGGGTTAGAGTGTCGGGCCTTGGACTGAAGGGTCACCAGTTTGATTCCTGGTCCTGGTCAAGGGCACGTACCTGGGTTGCAGGTTGGATCCCCAGCCCTGGTTGGGGTTGTGTGGGAGGCATCCAGTCAATGTATCTCTCTCACATCGATGTTTCTCTCTCTCTCTCTCTCTTTCCCCCTCTCCCTCTCGCTCTAAAAAATCCATGGAAAGCCCTGGCTGGTTTGGCTCAGCGGTTAGAGCACTGGCCCATGGACCAAAGAGTCCCGGGTTCAATTTCAGCCAAAGGCAAATACCTCAGTTGCTGTTCATCCCCAGCCCAGGTTGGGGTCGTGCAGGAGACAACCAATCGATGTGTCTCTCACATCGATGTTTCTCTCTCTTCCTTCCTCTCTCCCTCCTGCTCTATCTGAAGATAAATGATAAAATATCCTCAGGTGAAGATTTAAAAAAACAAAAAATCAATGGAAAAATATCCTCAGGTGAGCATTAACAACCAAAACCACATTCACTTTGTGTTCTATTTCAAAACCTACACAGCTTTTTAAAATGAAGTCTCTCATGCAAGCTGTGCTGTTAGAAATCGGAACAGCAGTTACCTCGGGGACTGGAGGAGGACACGGGCTGGGCAGGAGGGACGTCAGGTGCCGGCTGGGTTTCGTTTCTCGACCTGGGTGCCGTCTCCCTGGGCGTTTTGCTGTCTGAGAAAATGCACTGACCTGCTTACTCGTCTCCAGAGACTCCCCCGTGTGTCTTAGACCTGACAAAAAAAGTGCTTGGAAAATTAGGGCACCTTCGGCCTGCTTCCACAGTGACTCAGGAGTTCGGTTTCTGGGGAACATGGAGGTGAATGATTCTCACGAGCCAGGGGTAGGGAGAGAGGGTGGGAGTCACAGCGGGTGCAGCTTTTTGAGTTGTTGACAGATGCTGCTTTTCACAGGCCTCCTTGGACACCTGGACGAGAGACCTCGAATTCCATGCTGTGCAGGTGAGTCTGGGCTGTCACTGTGGACGAGCCGGCGTTCCCCAGGGAGACGGGACTGAGTGCGTGTGCCTCCTGCTTGGCGCCCAGGCAGAGTGGGCATCTCGCTCGAGTCCCAGCGCCTTTGGAGGCAGAACTCCTCCTTCAGGGCCCCTCCGTCGTCTTCTCTTAAGGCCTTTAGCTGATGGTACGGGGCCCACCCATTGGGCTTTACTGCTTAATCTGCTTTACTCAGAGTCCGCCGATGTCGTTGTCAGTCTCCTCGAAAAGAAACACCTTCACAGCGACATCTGGACGGTGTTTGACCCACCACTGGGTACCGTGGCCTCGCCAACTTGACTCATGAAATTAACCATCACGTATGCCCCTGAAGGCTGGTGAATTCTCAGCAAGGAACCCAAATCAGCCAACCAACACCTGCCCCAGCCCGTCCCAGGTGTTCCCAATCCACACCGGCTCCGAGGTCCCAAACAGCCAGGCGAGGTCAGGTCATCCTTACGGGGACACCAGGCTCCAGCGAAGCCGCGGGGAGCTGGCTGGGCAGTTCCCCGGGGCTCCCCCCACATCACGCCCCCGGCCATGCCACTGTGGAGGACAAGGCGGGTTTCCTGGGTAGCGTGCGTCCTCAGCGGGGTGGTGAGGTGTGACCGCATCTGTCCTTGTTACACTGATGAGGCAGGTGACATGTGAGGTTCATTCGAGGAGCAGGAAGGACCCACCCTTTCGGTTACAGATGGCATTTCCCTTCAAGAGAGGTGACTTGCTGAAAGTCACCCACTACACCTACAGGAGGAAGACCGGAAAGGGAGGGGGAGAGGTGCAGGCTTTGGGGCTGGGGCCCGGAGCCCCGGGGGAACAGCCTCTGGAGCTGAGGTCCGGGGGGCAGGGCTCCCTCCAGAGCCCAGCGGGCCACCACTCCCCGGCCCCTTCCTCTCCTCCGTCCAACAGCCCGCGACAGTAGAGTCTTGGACAGTCCTATGGGGCCACAGCGCCAGTGTCCAGTTGTCGCGATGCACTGAGGTCTGTGCGTGAAGGTCTCCTGTTCTGTAAGGCAGCTCAGCACCTGCTCCCCGGGAAATCTCTTGGAAGAAATAGGCCACGTGAATGGAAAGGTGTAGTCAGAGGACCTGCGCTTGGAAGGCACAGATCACAAACACACGCATTTCCTGTGGGCCGTGGGCCCTTCCACGTGGGCGGAGCCGGTGGCTGGTCCCCGGCAGGGAGCGGTCAGGTGGTCCGTTCTCAGCATCCCCCGAGAAACTGGTCACTATGAAATGACTCATTACTGTAGGCTGGAGAAGGGAGTTCGGGGTGGTTTGGAGAAGGAAGGGGGTGGGGTCGGGTCAAATCCAGCAGGGTGGCCAGAGCAGGTTCCAGAACTTTCAGTCCTCAGACCATGTTCCTTCTGCCCCACGGGGCTTTGTGCTCATGGCCGATCCCCCTTTGTGGGTTCCGGGAGGGTTTCTGGAGCCAGGCCTGGTCTCCTACCTCCCGCCTGGCCGCCTCTTGGTGCTGGCGGCTCCGCCCCGCCCAGTGGCGCGGTTTTGCATCTTGATCCTTTCGCCTTTGAGACCTGGAGGGTTGGCCGGGAGCTGAGATGAGCCTGGGGAGACGCCAGCGCGCTCCAAGTGTAGGGACCGCGGAGCAGCCCGAAGGAGGGTGTGCTGGGCTCTTGGGGATGGCTGCCCGTCCCCTTTGATGCTGAGGGTACGAAAGCTCGCTCTCTTTCGCCTCAGAGAAGGGGGCCATTTTGCAGAATCGGAGAGGGAAGCAGAGGAGAATTGCGATCGGCCTTGACCGACCAGGCGACCTGGAGCAGATGAGCCCTTCTCCCCTCAGTAGCATTCTGCGTGGTGACCTGGAGCACCCGGCTTCCCGGATACTGACCTGCGTGGGCCCTGCCCCCGGCCAGCTGCTGTGTCCAGCCTTTCTGTCCACCACGGGGATGGCCTGGCCCTGCCCCGGGCTCCCAGAGGGCAGTGTGGAGTTAGGTTAAGAAGCCCAGCTTCAGGGCTCTGGGGGAAGCATTTAGCCACTCCGGGGGTTCCTTTGTCGGAGGGGGGGGGGGGCGGCAGGCTTGGCCCATCGAGGGCCGTGCTCAGGGTGCAGCGTCCGGTGTTCCTTCCCAAGTGTCCTCCGTAAAGGCTGCTGGTGGCTCTGCAGATGCCCGGAAGGTGCTTGCGGACGCTAAGCCTCTCATTTCTCCCCCGGGGACAGGCTTAGACTTGCTCGGGGACAGGCTCAGCTCGGCATCTCCTTTGCTCTCCTCCGCGCTGGCCTTTCCCACTCAGACTAGACGCCGTGGACCCGACCCGTCCAGCTTTGCCGTCCTCGTCGGGAAGGCAGTCCCTGCACCAAGAGCTCCTCCCTTGAGAAGCTTTGCAGCAACATTAGTGAAAAATAGATGAAGTGTCTCGAATTAAAACGCGCTGACAGTTTAAGGCAAAGATGTGGAAAGCCGTCTCTTGCCCCTAACTCGCGGTGAGGGCGGGGACTCAGGTGCAGGAAGCATCTAACCAAAAAGAAAACTTCTCAGCGGCGTGACCCTCCCAGAAGCTTGAGCTCAGCTCGGTCTGATTCCGTTTAGCTTTCACTGGCTTCTTCCTCTTTAACATTTGGGTAACTATTTGTTACACCTTCTCCGAGTGGCTGGCTTCATGCCCGCGGTGGTGGGTTTGAAGCTGTAACAGTCAAGTTCACGCCCGTCAGATGGGTTACGCTGAGCTCGCCAAGGCGAGATGACAGCAGAACCGGCCCAGGGGTGCTGGTGTGAGGTCCACTCGTGAGCACTGGTGAGCGTTTCCCCCGGTTCAGGGACCCCAGGATGGCCCCCGGCGCCGTGGGTCCCTGGTCCCGCTCCTCGGCTGGACTGAACGCATGAGTCCCGTCCAGGTGAAATGGCTCCGTTTCCTTTGCAAAGTTGCTTTTGCAGCCCTGGCTGGTTTGGCTCAGCGGTTAGAGGATTGGCCTGCGGTCTAGAGAGACCCGGGTTCGGTTCCCGCTAAGGGCATGTACTTTGGCTGCAGTTTGTCCCCGGCCCTGGTCAGGTCGTGCGGGTGGCGGCCACTCTATGTGTCCCTTTCACGTCGATCTCTCTCTCTCTCTCTCTCTCTCTTTCTCTCTCTCCCTCCCACTCTACCTGAACAAAATATCGAAAAATGTCCTCGGGTGAGGATAAAAATAAAAAAAATAAAAGTTGCTTTTGCAAAACCACTACTGTGGGAGGAATCTCAGGGCCCTCCTTTAATGAGACGGTGGGTTTCCGGGAGCCCTCGACTGCTTTGCCTCAGCTGTTGAGCTTGTTCTAGAAGGACCGACCTCCTCGGGAGGACCTTGCCCGGCTGGAGCACCTTGGAACATGCGGGTTGCTGGAGACGCCGACGCCCCCTGTGGCCCAGGGCAGGGAGGCGGGTCCCCGGAGGGCCCCCCAGGCCTCAGCTCTGTCCAGGGGCTGTGAGGGCTGGGCTCCCCTCTGCTGGGTACCTTCAAACAGGGGTCACTGCAGGTGTGTGCATCTCAGCATGTTTGCTTCTGATTTTCAGGATAAAAAGCCCAAAGAACAAGAGAGACGAGGGGATTTTCTTCCCCGGCCTTTTCCCAAGAAGCTGGACAAGAACCTGCCGGCTCACAGACAGCCCTCGGCCTCGCTCATGACGCAGATTCAGAACACCAGGGCCCTGCCGAGGGACCGGAAGGCCACCAAGTCTGGCTTCCCCGACAAAGGCGAGTCCGCGGGCCGCTCTCCCGGCCACTCGTATGCACTGAGCTGTGTGGCCCTGGTCCCCCGTCAGGGTGGCTGTGCGGGCCCCCGGGACAGACGCCGTTCCTGCACCCTCGGGAAAGCAGAGTTAGTGCTCCTGAGGCAACCTGGGAGCAGTCAAGGTCCGGACTGTGTGTTGTCAGCCACCTGTGCGGGAGGGGGGCTGAGAAAGCAGAGACGGGCGCAGGTGTGGTGGGTGCAGAGAGGGGGTGCAGAGATGGTGCAGGTGTGGCAGGCACAGAGTGGGTGCAGGTGTGGTGGGTGCAGAGAGGGGGTGCAGGTGTGGTGGGTGCAGAGGGGGTGCAGGTGTGGGCACAGAGAGAGTGCAGGTTTGATGAGTGCAGAGATGGGGCACAGGTGTGATGGGTGCAGAGATGGGGTGCAGGTGTGGGCGCAGAGACGGGGTGCAGTAGCTTGTCCTGCAGCCGGGCCTTGCCGGGCCCACCGAACGTGGTGGTGAAGGAAGCCAGCACAGGACTTGTGCACAGGACTCGGCTTCGTTTCCTTCCATTCCAAATGGGGGTGGGGGGTTCCTTTCTCCTCTGTCACTGTCTGCAAACCTGGGCCCCAGTCTGCACCCACTGGGCACAGAAACGGGGGTTGGTCATTGCCTTCACAACACAGACAGAGTGCTCCCCGAGGTCAGCGGGGGGAAGACCCACGGATGTCAGGAGTCATGAGGGAGCCCGACAAAGGCACTTGCTGCCACAGCGTGGGGACCGGCCCTCGGTGATGTCAGGGTTAGGGAACAAGCCTGTCACCGAGGGACGAGTCGTGCAGATTCCACTTATGTGAGGGACCTAGAGGGGTCCAGTTCAGGGACGGAAAGTCGAAGGGTGTGCAGGGGCCAGGGGAGGGGACTTCGTGTTTCGTGGGGACAGTTTCAGACTCGCAAGGGGAAGGGGCTAGTTCACGACAGCGTGAAAGTCCCTAACACGACCGACCTGTGTACTTTATAGGGTAAGAGGACACATTCACGTCACGTGCTTGTTTCCATGATTAAAGAGGGAAACGCCCTCCCAGAATTCTGTGCTCAGCACGGTGGGCTGGGTGTCCCGGGCACCTCCGTCCAGGCTCCCTGAAGCCCCGGGCCTCCTTGTTCGGACACTCTGGCACGGTCCGGAACTTCCAGCGGCCACACTGCAGGACCCAAGCGGCCTCCATTTCGGAAGGACTGCAGGGGTGTCCTCCGGGGCGCCCTGTCTCGGGGAGGGCAGAGGCAGGGCGCTCACAGTCTCCTTTGCTTTCTCCGTGCGCAGATCCCTTCGGCTGCCGCAGTATTTTCCGCAAAACCTCAGACTCCAGTTGTGTGGCTTCTTCCTCCATGGAGTTCATCCCTGTCCCACCGCCCAGGACCCCCAGGCTGGTCAAGAAACCGGAGCCCCCTCAGCAGGGCCTGGGGAGCAGCGGCCTCCCCTGCAGGGAGGATCCCCTGATGCTGGACATAGTCCGCTCCTTCGAGTCCGTGGACCGCGATGACCAGCTGGAACTGCTGTCCCCGGCCCGCCACTGCAGGGTTCTGAGCTCCCCCGGGGGCTCGGCTCGCGGACACCCCGGCGAGCAGACGCTGTCCCCGGCCCTGCTGCCTGGCGGCTCCTACCCTCTCCAGACGCCCGTGTACTCCACTCTGGTCTCCTTCGCTCACGAGGATAAGAACTACCTCCCCAAAGAGGGGGAGGTGTGTTCCCCTCCCCCGGGGCCCAGCTCCGGCGCCCCGCAGCCCCTGGGGAGCCCGAACTGCGTGAAGAGCCGAGGCAGGTTCCCCATGATGGGCATCGGGCAGATGCTGCGGAAGCGGCACCAGAACCTGCAGCCCTCGGCGGACAGGCCGCTGGAGGCCAGCATGCCCCTGCTGCAGCCCGTGGGGCCCAGCGGCCTGCCCTTCGCCATGGCCGAAGGCCTGCAGGGCCAGTGCTGACGGGCCAGCGGGGGGACCTGCCTGCTCCCCAGGACAGTGGACAGAGCTCCGTCTCCAGCCCACAGCGTCCCACCCCGGGAGCAGCGGAAGCCCACAGGCACTGCCCAGTCGTGCGTGGGGACCGCAGACGCTGGACTCGCCCAGCAGGGGGGGCTGTTCATGCCCTGCTCCCCCCTCAGCCGGGTGCGGGGAACACCCTGCCTCGGCCTCGGGCCCCCCGACCGCGACCGTTACCGGGTCTTTCTTCACTGTGCTCTGCCCCTGCCTCTCCGGGCCGTTCTCTTTGGCCACCGGCCACTGTCACAGGAGACTGACGGAGTGTCCTGAAGCAGGCCGTCCAGGCCACGCTTCCCTTCCTTCCATGGAGGTGAGAACCTGGGGCGCCCGCCCAGGACCCCGCGGAAGACGGACAGGAGCCTCGGCCACTGGCGCGGCCCCTCTGAGCGGGCGGCTGGGACCCACCGGAAGGAGAAGCCCGAAGGGAACACTCACTTCTGACGCAAGGTTCTAACAGTCTTTCCTGTTTGGGTTGGAACTTGCTGCACGTTGAATTATCTTCTCTCCAAAGATGATTTTTCTGTATGTGATACCACGAAATCAAAGTAACATAATTTTTAAAAACCTGATGGCGAGATGAGAAGTGATTCCACCCAGCTCGTGTCTCACGCGTGGAGGTGTAAGCACTCTCCCACGTGGGTCTGCAGTGGCTGGTGGCCACGGCGACCTGCAGTCAGGCACGGTCACAGCCGGCCCTGCGTTCGTACCATTGTGTCGACAGCCCTGGTCCTTCCGGGGCGTAGGACACGGTTTCCGTCGGTTAGTTAGAGGCCGTGGCTGAGGCTGGATTTGGATGCACGTGGAAGGCGTGTTACCTCCGTGCAGGCGGTTTTCACGCTGCCACGAGCACATGCGTGGATAGAGCTGAGTGGTTTGCTGTGAGCCCGGCGAGGTCGCCTGGTGGGATCGTGTTCCAGGTGCAGCACCGTGTCCGCTGAGGAGTGTGGTTTCCTCACACTGCTCCGAGTCCCCGCTCTGTTCACACCTTTGCCGAGGATCGAACCCAAGAGGCTTCTCGGGTCTGTGTCCACCATCCCTGTGCGCATCATGTGGACCCCCGTGTCTGACCGTGTCTCACTGGAGCCTGCCTGGCCCTTGGGGACCACTCTGTCATGAGTGGCATTGGAAAGACAAGAATCGGTACAGGTCGGAGAGCAATTTAGAAGACAAATTATACAATGGCCTGGAGTCCTCGACTGTTGACTCGTGTGGGAGTGACAAGCCACTGCAGTGGGCACTCTAGGACGTGTCCTCTCTGCCACGGAAGCTGGCCACGGCCCTTGAGAACTGCAGGCGTGTCCTCGGCCACGGAAGCTGGCCACGACCCTTGAGAACTGCAGGCGTGTCCTCCGCCACGGAAGCTGGCCACGGCCCTTGAGAACTGAAGGCGTGTCCTCTCGGCCACGGAAGCTGGCCACGGCCCTTGAGAACTGCAGCCGGTGCCAGGGAGCAGGGATGGCTCATCTGTGCCCCCCTGCCAGTGGCAATCCCCCGCCCCCCGTCTCTTGACTGAGGGGATGGTGGACATTTGCTGAGCCCTGAGGTCACTGCGACACTGGTTTCGGCTGACCTGCGTGAGCCCTGCAACTGCTGCTCCCCACTCGAGGGGGTCACCCCAGCTCTTGGGCTCATTAGGAGGGAGTCAGGCTCCTGGCTGTTGCCATCACTTTGTTATATGGCTCCAGACTGGGTTCTGGAACATTCCACTGAAAATGGAGCTTTGGAAGCCGAGAAAAGAAGCGTCTGAAAAAGGCCCTCTCTCCACTGGACGTGAGTCTGGGTTCCAGTCGGGGAAGGAACTTTCCGCACGTGGTTTCCTGCCGCACGTGCGCGCTGGGCAGGCTCTCGGGTCGCGTCCCTGTGCCTTGTGGGCTCCTCGCCCCGTGTCCGTGTTGTGTCCCACTCCCCCGAGGGCACCAGCCCGTCCGTGCCTCCGTCTCTCGTGTCACTTCAAGAACAGCTGCGGACGGTCATGCGGCTCACCGCCCGCGTGGCCACTGGTAACCAGAACTGCGCTCAGGTCTATTCCAAACCCGTGGCAGGAGCGGGGAGCGCGACGGGGCTGGCCTGCCTGTGTGTGAGCGCCTGGCCGGTCTGTGAAACCGAGTGAAAGATGAAACGTTCGAGTCTGTTATTCTATTTATGTGGAAAACCTGGCTGTCCCTCCGGTCGGTACAGAGCGTGTTGTCTCTCTGCCCACGACCGTCTCACGCGCGTCTGTGCCTGTGACCCGGTCAGCCTGTAGTCACTGACCGAGATGCCTGTCATCGTGTGAGGTCCAGGAGGAAAGGACAGCTTGAACTGTCTGGTGTGGTCATGAGTTAGGACCGTCCTTGTCACCATTATTAAATGTATGTGCTTTTATAACAACTGTGAAATACACTTTCCCTCACTGTGACTGCTTTGTTTATTCGCTGACAAATCTCACACCATCGCGTGCGTGTCGCATTATTGTGACAGCTTCCCCATGAGGTTCTCCTCCCAAGCAGGTGACAGACACAAGTGGGGATCGAGCTGGGGGTGTCTGAGGGCACTCCTCTGCTCCAGTGACCCTCTCTGTCCACAGAAGTCCATGTGGTGGACACCCGGTGGACGTGGTTCAAAATGAGTCCGCGTTTTTCTTTTGGGGCATTCGGGACCACCCACGAAGACGGAACGTATGCGGGACAGAGAGGGTGATGGGGTGCAGTGGGAGGGTCTAGAGGGGCTGTTTGGATCGTCTGGGTTCTGACTCCATTCGTAACTGCACAGTTTTTATATAGCCCACCTGGCTTAAACCTCAGAGGGTGACGTGGTAGAAGGTGAGACCCCTACAAGAAGCTGAGGTTTGATGAAGTGGGGAGGGGGCGAGACTGACTCGTGTTGAGGAGGATGTTCTCTTCGTCAGAACATTGTAGAACAGGAAGTGCCCCGAGGTTTTCTGGCTCCACCTGAGCCTGTCTGCACAGGAGAAAACGGGGCCCCAATAAAGGTTTATTTCTTACACCATTTTTGGTGGTTTGGACTCCCCAGGGTCCTTGAATGAGCTGGGCCGGGGGGGGGGGGTCTGGGTGCAGGGCTCCCCTGCAGAGAACAGAGAATCAGACAGTAGCCGCGTGGACGGAGGGCGTCGGCAGCAAATCATACTGTCACAGGTGTCCCTCAGGCCCCCGCACGGACCCTGTCTGCATTTTTAAGTCATTTTCAAATGGTGTGGCTTCTTGAGAGTCTGAGCATCACACCCCGCCATCCACCATCACCTCCTGAAGCTGGAAGAAGACTCCCCTTCTTCCCAGACGCCCCCAGTGAGCAGCAACCCCTAGGGGGCTGTTGGCTTTTACTAGATTAACGTAACGAGACGTTTTTATGTCGCCATCAAGTGAGGCCAATTCAGAGCGAATGTGAGGCTGGGCGGGGGCGTGGGGGGCTCTCGGCTGCTGTATTGTGTCCTGGTGGGACTCGGAGCTGCAGGCACAGCGGGAATAACTCGGGGGGGGGGGGGGCTGCCCCGAGTGCTGTCATCGCCGCTCACGGCAGGCACGTGTTTCCTGAGTCGTGAGTGAGCGTATTATTTGTGGCAGCGTTTTTGTCAAGGGAGCTTTTCAGACATCTGGTTCCAAAGACAGATGGGAAATGCAGATACATCCACACTTCTTCTCTGTGGCCTTGCTTCCAGGACACCGCTGACTCGGGGACCTGATGTCTGAGCACCTGCGGGACTGGGGGAGGGGGAGAGGCTGGGGGAGGGGGAGAGGCTGGGGGAGGGCAGAGGCTGGGGGAGGGGGAGAGGCTGGGGGAGGGCGGAGGCTGGGGAGGGGGAGGGGGAGAGGCTGGGGGAGGGGGAGAGGCTGGGGGAGGGGGAGGCTGGGGGAGGGGAGAGGCTGGAGAGGGGGAGAGGCTGGGGGAGGGGAGCACATCTGCTCTCAGGTGTGTGCACACGTCTGTGCTGTGCAGACAGGGAGGCGTTCTGGGGTCCAGCTCTGGGAGCAAACGGAGGGGCCACCTGGAGCTGAGACGGGTAACGCAGCCCAGGGGACACTGCAGCGAGGACAGTGCCTGGGAGCTGCACCGTCACAGGTGGGAAATGGCTCTGCCCGAAGGGCCCTGCTCAGAGATGGCCCACAAGCTGTTTTGGAAGGAACGTCTGCGCTGGATGGTTCCTAGCCCTCAGGAAGGACATGCGTTTGTTTATTTTCTAGGCCTTGTCGCCGCAGCCAGCAGAAGGGGGCAGATGCGAGCCCGTGTCAGGCACCAGGCTTCTGGTCCAAAGTTAGGCAGAGAATTCAGGCCCCTCTGAGACAAGAATGCCTTCGTCAGTGTTCATCTCTGGCGACCAGTGTGCCAGCTACAGTGGGCTTTGCTATGATGGCAAACCCCCAGATCTCTGTGACTTGCCCAATAGAGGTTTGTCTCCTACGCAAACTTGTATGAGGCCCAGACTCCAGGGCAGAGAGCCGTCTTCCATGGGGTGACTCGGGGATCCAGGCTGGTTCCAGCCGTGGCTCAGAAAATGCAGTTTGCCTGGCTGCTCCAGCAGGGGGCGCTGCAGCTGGTCCTGGGCCCTGCCTCCAGACTCCAGGGTAGAGAGCCGTCTTCCATAGGGTGACTCGGGGATCCAGGCTGGTTCCAGCCGTGGCTCAGAAAATGCATTTTGCCTGGCTGCTCCCGCAGGGGGCGCTGCAGCTGGTCCTGGGCCCTGCCTCCAGACTCCAGGGCAGAGAGCCGTCTTCCATGGGGTGACTCGGGGATCCAGGCTGGTTCCAGCTGTGGTTCAGAAAATGCAGTTTGCCTGGCTGCTCCCGCAGGGGGTGCAGCAGCTGGTCCTGGGCCCTGCCTGTGGGCCGGAGGCTGAGAAATGCGGGAAGCTTGTGGCCATTTAGGTGTAGTTCATGTTTCTGCCTCAGGGAAGGCACAGAGGCCCACCGCCTCCGGGCCCCTGCAGCTGCCCTGGCCATTCTCACCCT